CCGGCTTCCCTCCCCTGAGAAGGAGGAGCCGCCGCCTCCGCGGCCGCCTTTTCCACCCCCACAGGAAGACCCCGCCGCCATTTTACCTACCGACCGAGCCGCCGTCGACCTCACCGACACCAGGCCCCTTTCAGCCGCTCCGCCCTCTTTCTTCGGTCGACACCGCGCGCACGCGCGCGTACGCCACCCCGCACTTGCCAGGCCGCGCTTCTCGCGAGAACTTTCCGCCGCCAATCACATATCAGGCCGGCGATCATAGAGACGGGAGAGGCGGCAGGCTCAGTAAACCATAGAGATTAAAGGAGGTGGTTTTAGAAAGGTTGCCCTAAAAGCCGGTAAAGTTCTCGTAGACGAGAGCCTCCAGGCTCTAAATCCTAGAGCGGCCAATCTTAGACAAAAGTGTTGGGAGGAGGTCTGGCCGTGTTAAATGGGAATGGGGAGCAATTGTGGTGTGCGAGGGTCTCATTCGCTTTGGCCCACAACTCCCATTAGCCATCGCTAGTATAAACAGTGGCAAGGGATTATGGGACTTGTAATTTCCCCCCAAAAAAATTTTTGGAGCTCCATGGACAGGTTAAATCATTGAGTCTTCCCTGTATTTTATTTATTTATTTATTTATTTATTTATTATTTATTTATTTATTTATTTTAGATTTCTACCCCGCCCCCTAGACAGCGTCACTTTGAGTAAAGTACTGTACAGGGTAAGCCTTGAGTAAAGGCTGGTGCTGTTAGATTTATTTAAGCGTCCCACTGATTATTTCCGCCTCAGAGATTCCATACTGTATTAAAAACTTAGAAGATTAGAGCCCTAAGTGCTCTTTTACATTCATGTGAACACCACACTGACTGAATCTAGTAGGTAATATAAACAGACTAACTAGAGGGACAGGTTTGGTGACCATTTATTTCAGGTTTTTAATCTCTGTGCTGTACAGTTCACACATACAATGGAAATATACTCCATTCTTTTCGTTGGATATTGTGCAGATTTGTTTCAATATATGAGGGGGCTAATTGAAACATAACATCTATATGTTCATCCTCAGTCTATTGTCCCTCATTCACCCCAGCACGGCATCCAGGCAGGGCTCAAGGGACAGGACAGCATCCACTGCAGAAGGGTGGGACGACAGAAAGAGCTGAAAATCATTATTGTACTGGTGACATGATGCTCCAAAATTCCTGATGGCCTCCCCCAGCGGGCTCATGTAGATGTTAAATAGCAACAGAGAGATCATCAACCCCTAGAGGATTCCACAATTGAGAGTTCAAGGGGTTCGACACCATCTCCCCAAGTTTCACTCTCTGAGTCCAGTCCTCGAGGACGGACCGGAGCCAGGACAAAGCCAAGCCACCAAGCCCTGACCCAGAGACCCTCCCCAGGAGGAGCCCGTGGTCAACAGTATCAAAGGCTGCTGAGAGAGCGAGGAGGTCCAACAGGGACATTTAGGACACAGACAGAGTTCTGACTCCTGTTCCTCTGAAGATGCCAGCCACAGAGACTGATGAAACGTTAGGAAGGAAAAACCTCCAGAACTTGGCCAAACAGCCTGAAAGACCTACAACAACCATTAGATCCTGGCAGTGAAAGCCTTCACAAATACAGGAACATTTTGCTTCTGTCAGCCTCTCTCAGAAAGCCCTCTTGCAAAGTGACCAGTGCTATCCCTATGCCGTGATGGAGCCTGAACCCAGGCTGGATGGGGCCGAGGGCATCAGTTTCCTGAGAGTGCCGGTAGCTGATCAGCCACTGCCCTTTCCACTAGCTTCCTTAAAAATGGAACATTGGCAACAAGTTTGTAGTTATAGTTATCCACCACCAATTTAGTGGGGGTTTTTTGCGATGGGCCTAATGAAATGCAATATTTTTGTACCCTCTAGAACAGCGGTTTTAATACTTTATCCAAACGTAGCAACATTTCCAACCTTGGGTAACCCAGGTGTTCTTGGACTGCAACTCCCAGAAACCCTGGCAAGCACAGCTGGTGGTGAAGGCTTCTGGGAATTGAACTATAAATCACCTGAATTATTCAAGGTTGGAAATCACTGCTCTAGGGAATGTGGCAGAAGTCTTGCCATGTTTAAAGCACTCCAAGGACCTTATTTCCCACTTACAGTGGACCCTCTACTTACGGAATTAATCCGTATTGGAACGGTGGCTGCAGGTCGAAAAGTCTGTAGGTCGAGTCTCCATTGACCTACAATACATTGAAAACCGATTAATCCGTAACCGGCTGGGTTTTTTTCCATTTTTGTTCCATTTTTGTTTTTTTCTGGTCTGTAGGTTGATTCTCCGGCTGCAAGTCGAACCTAAATTTTGCAGCCAGAGAAGTCTATAACTCGAAAATCTGTAAGTCAAGTCGTCTGTAAGTCGAGGGTCCACTGTATTTAAATTAAAAAAAAAAACAGGCCCCTAGACGGCATAAGGACAAATAGTTTGGCAAGATGCAGCTTTTTTGCCTTTGTTATTTTGTCTTTTATTTATTTATTTATTTATTGAAGGCCCTTTCTGTGACGTTGTGAGGGTTTGGGGTCAGGCTCCGGTTTTTCTTCAAATAAATTGGCAGACTTCCTCGGTTTAGAAATTGGTGTAAGATTTATAGGATTGTATTCTCGAAGGCTTTCCCGGCCGGGATCTGATAGTTGTTGTGGGTTTTTTGGGTTCTAACACGGCCAAAGAACCCGAAAAACCCACAACAACCATTTATTGGATTGTTTTAAAAAAATAGCCTCTGTCAGCAAAGGTATTGCAGTCATTTCTTCCCTCTAACAACTGGGGTTAGATGGGGGCTTCCACTCTTCAACTTTAATAGGGGTTACACCCCTGAACTTTCCAGGGGCCTGGCCAGTCCAGTGTAAAGTCCGTGTTCAATAATGGTCCTGTCTCCCCTTCCAGTAAGGGGACTGTGTCTTTGTCCCGGTCATCTGTCTAAACCTGGTCTCCTGAGGGGGAATCCTCCGCTCCATCATCCACCATTCCAATCTTTCTCTCCTCTCTCTCTCCACCTTTTCCTTCTCTTCCCTTAACTTCCTTCTCCACTCCTTTGTCTCTCCTTCACCCCAATAAGATGGTTTAGAGGTGCTCTCACTTCTAGCATCCACCTCCTCCTTTGGGACTCTTAGTTTTTCTACCTTCCCCATCCATGGATCTTCCAACCCCATCTGCTCCCAACCATGAGGCAGGTTCATGTCCCCGCTCTTTATATCCACAAGCCCTGCCTCTACCTCTACCCGGGGCTGTCGTTCCATTCCCGCCAAAACATTCCCGCTTACTTTAATGGTCATTTCTTTCAACTTCTCTTCTACAATCCCCGGGTCTGTTTCAGGTGGTCTTATCATCCTGGGAGGGGGAATACGAGGAGCCGGTTGCACCTCCTTGTCAGCAGGAAATGGGAGGGACTGCATTCCTGTGAGAGGAATCTTGTTCTCACCGTCAGTCTTACAGATGCTCTTTCTTTAAAAATTCCAAAGTGGTTTACAAATGAAAAAAAAAACCCATAAAATATGTAGTAGGTAAAAGAAATAGGTAAAATAAAAAACAGACAATAAACAATTGTTCATTAAACCCCCACGGCAACTGGTAGTGCTAACAACAACAAAAGTAATCAGGAGAATGCTAGGTTAGCGGCTAGGTCCTTCGTAGATGATGGAAATAATTTAAATCTGTGAGTCTGCCTAATCTCAATTGGGGAAATCATTCCAACATGGCGGGTGCTGCAACAAGGAAAAGCCCCGTCTGCATAGTGAGCAAAATATGTACATTAAATTATTTTAAAAATATTATTTCATGTGACTTGTGGTGTTGGAGTTAACACATCCAGAAGAAGCTATCTTCTGTAGATTGAACACTTTATGTCATTTAATGTTATGCTAGTGATACAACTGTGTTGAGGCAAAAATGCTGTCCTTGAAGCACATCTGTCAGCGCATTGCACAGTCAACATTTACACCATGCAACTGATTGCACCATTGACTTGCACAGTCCTTGTTGCCAGTGCAGAACAACCAGCACATTTACTATGGTGTAACATCAGTAAGAATTGCATGCTATCGAGTCTGTTCCAGATGATGGTATCATTCTAATTTGTGCCATGTAAATTAATGCAAGAGGACTTTGCACACCAGTACAAAAGAGTGGTCATATTGACCAGATAGGCAGGATATTAAACAAACAAACAAACAAACAAATAATAACAAACAAACATAATAAAATAAAATAAAATAAAATAAAATAAAATAAAATAAAATAAAATAAAGGAAGACCAGTAATGGGTGGATGGCACTACGAAAAGACAAATGGATTGATTGAATAAACCACAGCCTTTAGTTCGCAAGACCTGAGTAAGGTTGTTGGTGATAGGATAATTTGGAATTAATATGGTGATGGCAAAATTAAAAGGGAGGGGAGGAAAGGAAGAATAAATTAGAGAGAAGAGGCAAAATGTGTGACATTTTAAGGACACCAGTAATGGGTGGATGGCACTACGAAAAGACAAATGGATTGATTGAATAAACCACAGCCTTTAGTTCGCAAGACCTGAGTAAGGTTGTTGGTGATAGGATAATTTGGAATTAATATGGTGATGGCAAAATTAAAAGGGAGGGGAGGAAAGGAAGAATAAATTAGAGAGAAGAGGCAAAATGTGTGACATTTTAAGGACTAATCGAGTTATTTTAGTGTGAGATTTTATCAGTCAAAATCCACTTTGTGGTGTTGATGCTGTGTGAAGAAGTGGGTTTTGATCCACAAAAGTTCACAGTTAAACAGTGTTTAAAATAGCTATGTTGGCTCTCATTCTCTTTTCTTTCTCTCCCAAGCCCCCTTTTAATTTTGCCAACATGCTCAGGCAGACTAACAAAGCTACTGCTTTGGAAATCAATTCATAGGGACACCTTAAGTCGGAATGATTTGTCTGTACCTAAAAAACCCTGATAGGACTAAAGGACGACGGAAAAACCCTGATGTTGGGAATGGGTGAAGGCAAGAAGAAAAGGGGATGACAGAGGATGAGATGGCTGGACAGTGTCATCCAAGCGACCAACATGATTTTGACCAAACTCCAGGAGGCAGCAGAAGACAGGAGGGCCTGGCTGCTCTGTCAGACACACTGAAGAACTAAACAAAAGCACAATTACCATCACTATTAAAGATATGGGGACACTGACTTGATTATTGACTTGAGGGTAAGTGCCCACATCCTGCAGCTGACAGTAAGGTCCTATTGATGAGAAAATCACCTGAGGCAGGGTTATTTGTCTGCTATTGTTCCTTTCCCCTGATCATTAGCAACATCCTTCTGCACCCCATTCTTTCTTTGATTCATACTATATATATCAGGAAAAGATCTGATTTCCCCTTCCCTTCTTTCTCCTACTAGCAACCCCTGAAGACTATGTTTTATTTATTCCTATAACCTTTGCTACCTCCTGGAATGTAAATCCAGTCCAGAACTTGCAGCTGTATGGATCTAGAGACTTCTCAGCCTTTTGAGTTAGTATTTCTCAGCCGCCTAGAGTGGTCGAAATGACTAGATAGGCGGGATATAAATACAATAACTAACTAACTAACTAACTAACTAACTAATAATAATAATAATAAAAACAACAACAACAACAACAACAACAATAATAATAATAATTAATGTGAGCTTTTACTTATATTCTTCGTTCATTTACTACTTGCCATTTATGAACCTAAGTATATCATAATACCTAGCGGGATGTAGTAGAAGGACTAGGATCAGAAGGAGTCTTGGGTTCGAATTCCACTTGGCCATGGAAATGTATGGCAATATATGGAACAGGTAAAACCACTCTTTAAATATGTTACCTTGAAAGCCCTACTATTAAGGTTGATAAAATCAGTTCCAATTTGATAGCACATAATACAGTATATCATCATATTTGCTATTCCCCAACACAATAACTGGTAGCCAGTGTGATATAATTGGTAATGTATGAGGTTAGGGTTTGGGTTGAAATCTCTGCCATTGCAATATGGCGATAGTAAAACACTTCTTCAACATCTCACATAGCGAAAAAATGCAGTTAAGGTTGTTATAAATCAGAAGAACATGACAGCACATTAAAACAATGCAACTATTGTGCAGATTTTGGTTACTTGTGTGTTCGATAAAATCTTCCCTTGTGAAATAGTTATGCATGTGAGTCAGATCTATGCAGGCACCCTACAGCTATGGTCCAAAGATCCTGTGCAGCTATATATTCTAAAATATATGTGAATTCATGCATGTATACCTGATAATAATATGGGGTAAGACAACAGGAACTCCAAAGAAGGAATTGTCAACTTTGTTAAGAAGTAGAACCACTATCACCCCGCAACAGAACCAAGAATTGTGCAGATTAGATCACCCTGCAACTTGGAGGAAACAGACATGTGATTTTAGCACAGCCAAACGATTGGAAAATAAATTCATGTGATCAAACCACAAATGTTCTTTCTACCTCTGAGAAATCTTGGCAAGTATGCAAAGCCATGCAAATACACTAATACTGTTTTTATATTACAAGTTGATACACTGACACAAATGAGCAGAAGGACAAATCTTTTTCTCCTTCATGTCAGATTATGTATTATTCAGTTGAAAAGAAACTATAGTAGTGTGAATGGATGTAGGAATTACTAGCAGAGTTTACAGCAAAGTGACATATGCAAAGTAACTAGCAATAGAATGTTAAGAATAACACTTCACATTCATTTGTTTGGTTTCTCAACAGTGAGAACTTCCCATTTTACTTTTAACTTATGTAACAAGGCCACCCTACTCATTATGTTGGGACTTTGACAAAAAGTGAGTTTTGATTTGATGCACAGTTATTTTTATACATATGCTGCACCACAAATCAGAGAAGACCTTTTTAAAGATTATAAGGCTTCTGAAGTGAAATGAGCCCAGTAATTGTGGAAGTTTATGATTCAAACAAACTACAAGGCACTTTTACGTATCAAACACTCCACACTACCCTTCTGGAATTTTAACCATTTTTTGTTTTTGTTTTACATTGATTACTAGAAACTTGGTGTACTTAATACTCCCTTTTACACTGTATCAGACAAGAAGCATAACAGAATAACAAAGACAAAAACTTTTCAGCATCTTAAAGATTAACTGCTATATTTTAATGTGAGCTTTTGTGGACCAAATCCACTTCTTCAGACATTAGACTGAAAGTAGGTGGCAAATATTTCTACATGGCTCCAAGAGACAATGGTTGGTTAGTAGACACAAGTAGCAAATTGTGGGAGTCAATGTGGCGTTTCACACCTGGCAAGGACTTAAGACCTCTTGGACAATTACAGTAGCTCTTTTCCATAGATAAGAATACTTAAGGCCATCAAGTCCAAACCCTCCTGCTCAGTGCAGGAAACCCAATCAAAGCAAATCTGACAACTGTCCAATTTTCTCTTCAATGCCTCCAGCTCTGAAACACTCACCACCTCCTGAGGTAATCAGTTCTATTGTCATACTGCTCTAACAGTTAGGAATTTTTTTCCTTATACTCAACTGAAATCTGGCTTCCTTGATCCTCTTGTTGCATGTCCTGCACTTGGGGATGATCAATGATAGAGCTACCTACCGATTGCATTTGCTATTATCCATGATTTTCAGCATGGGGAGGGCTTGGAACCGTTACTCAGCAGAGGTGGGGGCCCTACTGTAGAAAAATGCTATCCTATCTCCCGTTCCTTCTTTTCTCAAGGCTAATCATGCCCAGTTCTTTCAGTCTTTCCCTCATAAGGCTTGGTTTCCAGCCCCCTGATCATTCCTGTCGCCCTCCTCTGAACTTGTTCCAGTTTGTCAGCATCCTTCTTCAAGTGCGGTGTCCAGAACTGGACATAAGACTCAAGGCGAGGCCTAACCAGTGCTGAATAGAGAGGGACTAGCACTTCATGGGATCTGAAGACTATACTTTATGCTAATACATCCTAAAATGTTTGTGTGTGTGTGCGTGTGCCCATTGTTCGATCCATACATCTTGGATCGTGTTCGCCACTAGCTTCGTTCCTTCACACACACACACACACACACAAAATCAGGATCTCTTCATCTCAGCCGGATGAAATCCCTTTCCCCGCTCTTCTGGTAAAAAAAAACTAAATCTCGCCGAGTCCTCCCAAATGCCAGTGTGTATCCCTGAGAGTGAGGGCCAGAGCGGCCGCCTTCGCCTCCTCTCGCGCGCCCTCTTCCGCGCGTGCGCCTGCCCCTCCCCCTTCCCCGGGCGGCCATTTTGGCGACGGTTTCTCTTGCCTCGGCGTGGGCGGAGCAACAAGTTCGTTCCCCGCCTATCGCTGTGGAGAGCAACCGTGAGGAGGAGAGAAGGAGGAAATGGCGGCTGCCGCCACCACCCTTGTCCCTGCTGCTGGTGTTTCTGCTGCTTCTGCGAGCGGTCGTCTCGGCTGAGGCGGCAGCCCCGAGTTGGCAGCTCGGCTCTTTCCCTCAACCCTTGCCCCCTCCGCGAGCCTCCTTTCTCTCCTCTTCGGTGAGTGAGGGGGGCGAGCGGGCGGGCGAACCGAGCGCGTCGGGCCTGGCAGGGAAAATGGAGGGAGGGAGGGAAGGCGGGCGAGGGAAGCGGCGTGCAGGGGAAAGGAAAATGAGGCGAGGTGGAGGTGAACGGGGGTTGGCGAAGAAGCCCGACTCCCTCTCGGAGTCCGCGGGGGCGGTTTCTTCTCGCCCTCCCGCTTCCAAGCGGCATCGTCACAGACGGGACCGACGTCGTGAAACGGGGCTGATCTCACAATCGGGTGACGTTCCGAAGGCCATCGGTGAAGGTGGCTATAAATTCCGCCACCCGCCCCCGCGCCCTCCTTTATCTCGGGAGGCTTCTGTGGAGAGGAGCTCGGAAAAGCTTTCCGTTTTTCTTCTCGGGCCTCGGAGCGGGACAGAGAAAGAAACCGGAGAAAAGGGCAGCTCACGATTTTAAAAGGCCGTCGGGCCACGGCGGCAAGCTCGGTGAGAGGCGCCCGAGGATTTCACGATGACCCTTCCTTCCTTCCTCGCCCCTTCCTTTGTGCCGTGGAAAGGGAAAAAATGTGCTTGAATTCAAACGGGTTTTCTGTAGTAGTTCTGTCCACACCTTGGGAGGCCTCCTTTTTCAGATTTAGGAGTATGCCCGTGGTTATTTTAGCTTAGCTTTATCTTCGCGTCATAGTCGGCTCCCTTTAAATCAAACCTTAATTTGTGTTTTCTTAGAGCCGAAAACAACTGATCACAATCTGTGCATTTTGAAATCCTTATTAGCACTGCATTTTTAACAGTGACCGCTCATAAGTAAGCCGTTGTGGAATAAACCCACAATCCCAAATAGAGCAAGAGCCTTAAGTCATTGCAAAGGCTAAAGAACTGTGATTGATAACCCACTTCTTTATATATCTGAAGGACTAGACTGCAGCCAGTGAAGATTTATGACAAATAAATATGGTTTATTTTTGATATATCACTACACATTTGTTCTTACTACCACAGACTAACATGGTTATCCTCTGAGATATACTCTAATTATTTTCTTGGGAGTAGTCACACTGAATTCAGAGGATCTTCTGAGTGGACACATGCAGGATGTTGCTGTAAATTGTTTTAAATGGCTACATTTGTGGTTTTATCTTTTAACCTATTTGGTTTGTTCATTCTCTTGCCATCCCATTGTCAGGCACTTTAGAATATTTTCTTATTTTCCAGTAGCTAAACATGCTTTTGATTCTCCCCTCCCTCACCTCCAGTAATCCCATTTTACTTAATATTTGTAGAATGTGTGATCAAAAATAAACTACAAGAAGCAACTGCACTGATTCTGATTTTGGGCTGGCAAAAGTTAAAACTTAAGTTTCGGCCAAAATGCATATAATAATCAAATATGAACACATTGCTATGAAAGAATTAGAGATCTCTCAGCAGTTGAAGGAGTGTGGATCAGGCTGCTTGTTTACCATATGTAAAATATTTGAAAGGAAAAACCACTAAAAGAATATTTGACATAGCTGCTTTACACCTGTGTAACTTGGTGAGCTGATATAGCTCAATAGGTTGGAGTGCATGGCTGTGTAGTTAAGGCCTGGGAGTTTTAATCCCTCTGTGCCTGTCCATCTAAAATCTCCCCTAGTTTGTGTGTCCAGCAGAATTATATGCCCTGTCACCTAGCCTTGAGTGAACTACTTGGTTACAGATCACTACCAGGATGGACTGGTAAAGCGCTTCACAGTACTTTATACCAGAAAACCCTGAGAAGGTTATTCTAAGTCTGAATTGATTTAATGTTGCATACTCATTATTAAATAGGTATCTGGGTGCTAATTGAGAAATATTAATAAATCAGTCTGCTGCTCTGAGAAGATTTGTGGATATCTGAAGCACTGCCAAGGCTCATGCTAGGAGGGGGGAAGTGAAAAAGAAGTGTCATTCCTTCATGTATGTGTGTGTTGTTTTTCTTTTTATACATTTCCTCTCACTAATTTTGAAGAGAGGGAACTAATCTGGGCTAGTTGGTGTAGATCTGTCACTTGCTTGGTACAGGAGTGACCTGAAGACAAGAAAAGCTGTGCACCGTGCAGATTTATAACTTCTAGCCTTTTCACTAGTGTGCCACCTTTTCTACATCTCTAGTGTTTGAATAGAAGTGGCCCCTATAGATGGCTGAGGAAGGTTTCCAAAGCTGGATCTTTACTTCCAGGGGTGGATCTCTTTCTCTCACCTCTTGAAGGGCGTGATTTTTACATATCCTATGAGATGTCCTCCCAGAGATCATAGCACTTCATCCTGAGTTTGCAGTTTCAGAACAGCTGACAAGGTGTAGGATGTTGTAGACCTCTCTGTGTAGGCAGTAAGCTAGAGATCTTCCCAGGATGCAGTGGCTTGCTAACCTACTGGTGATATATTATGAGTGATTGGGACCCAGATAAAGTTCTCTGGAACTTAGTGAGGGCATGCTGTGGATTTTGCAGGGTCCAAGTCCCATTGTGCCTCTGCAGTGGTCCCTACAAATTACACTAGAAGTGGTATGCTTATCTCTTGTATTTTCAGTCAACCTACAAGGTGTGCTTTGTTTTGTTTTTGGAGGCTGCCAAGCCTTCTACCTCACTTAGCTGTTACGAACTGGCAGGGAATTGCAACCGGTTGTGACAATTATGGCAGCAAGAAGCCCTCCTCTACTTCGGATTGCTCTGTGTGGCTGCAGTCCTACAGCCAATCTACTGAGGCTACACTATACTGGGAATAAGTCCCCTAGATCTAATTTTGTGTGTGTGTGTGTGTGTGTGTGTGTGTGTATACACACACACACACACACAAACATAATACATTTTTAAAGAAACACACACACTATTATACATCGATATTTATATATTTCATAATTCATTTTTTCAAGTAAAAAAAGCCATGCGATCCTTGTACATAATCTGAAGGCAGAGGTGTATGATAATTTGTGGGAGAGTCTAGAAGATGTAATCACAGAAATTTGCAGCCCTGAAACTGGAATTGTGTCTTAAGATAGACATGCTTTCTAACAGCAATGTAGGGAGATGAGAAATAACACCTTTGATCAGACCTTTTTTCCATATCTCAAATAATTCCTGGAGCTGTTTTTTTTTTGTTTTTTTTTGCTAATAGTTTTATGAATTCTTGGAAGACGAATTGATATCTATGGGATTGCTTTCAGTTGTTTCCTTGAGTGAAGATAGCTCCTATAGAGTAATAACTAAAGCTGTTGTACTTTGCAACACTCTATAGCAGCGACGGTGAACCTTTTTGGGCTTGTGTGCCCAAACCTGGGGGGGGGGGAACACAGCAGGTGGCAGGCAGAACCGGAAGTGGCGGCGGAAGGGGGAATCCCAGGCATGGAGGTGCCTCGAGACCCCACTCTGGATCCGCCGCCAGCACGAGCTGCTCCAGATCCTGGCCCGCCACCAGTCCAAGCGCCAGCGCCATGGCTGCAGCTGCCTCCTCAGGTTTGGCTGCAGGTGGTGGTGGGAATAGCAATCCGGCTACTTATGGCTTGTGTGTCCGCAGAGAGGACTCTGCGTACCAGCAGTGGCACGCGTACCATAGGTTCGCCATCACTGCGCTATAGTCAAACTCAGGCCCTTAATCTACATTGTTGTTTGTAACTTGAGAGGCTAAACTGCATCATATTTAAAAAAATAAAATTTTATTTTTATAGCTTTAAAAGATAATGTAAATATTTATTTGATGCAGTGTGTCCCACCAAGGTTATCTTTGTTGCAAGATCAGTTAACAGTGTATCTGTTTTGCTTTCAGAAAATGTTCTGCTTTCACATATACTGTGCACAATTTTTCTAAAAATTACAAATTTTGTTCTTGTTTTGATGTTATTTATTTAGAAGAGATACCTTTTAATGTAGTTTTTTGTTCTTGCAGATATTTGTGTCTAATGATATAATAGTCTTTAAAAATAGTTCCTGATCTGTTTGTATTGTAATACAGAAATTAACAGTGGAGACAAATGCACGCTTGCTCAGAATTAGGTTCCATTGTATTCAATACTGTATACAGTATTACTGTCTGTTGCTGCCTAAGAAATTGAGATAATGTTGGCAGAATTTGCCGTTTTCCAGGAATAAATGCTCCAGTTTAGAATACATTCCGTAATACCGTATTGAATGCCTTTTCTAATGAGAGTATAGTCTTAGTATTTTACCTTCAGGTTTTATAATGGTATTTGACTAATTTGGATTCAGTTTAGATCATCAAGGTTAAAATATGTACTGTATTTTAATCATTACAGCATAGCTTACTGCATTGTAAAGGAGCAGAAAATCTTTTACATTTCTTGTTTTCATGTTATAAGTTTTAAAATTATGATTATAAAAATCTGAACATCTGACAAGTCCATGCTTTCTTTCTGTAAGATCTTATTTGTCTTTGACTCTTCTTTCTGTAACAGATTTTATGTTTATATTTGATGAATGTGATGGATTCGGCATTGTATTTTGTCTTACCATGGTAAGATAGTTTAGCATGAAATGGGGATTTTCATAACAGTGTATTGTTAAGACTTCGTTATAACAATACTGAAGTGTTCTATAAGAAACTTTCTTCAGTCAGGGAGTCTTTTTCTAACATGATCAGCATGTATTCTGTGCAGTTTAGTAGTTGATCATTTAATATTCCCAGGCTCACTGCTAGCTGGATATTCCCTTGTTTTCTTTTCATTTTCCTTGCCACATTCATTGATCTCTGGTGGTACATTTTTGTGTGTGTGTTTGTCTTTTAACAGTGGTGCCTCGCATTGCGATGTTAATTCGTTCTGCAAAAATCGCTGCAGAACGAAAACGTCGCTATGCGATATTAAAAAAGCCCATAGAAACGCATCAAAACGCGACTAATGCGTTCCTATGGGCTTAAAACTCACAGTTCAGCGAAGATCCTCCATAGTGCGGCCATTTTTGGTGCCTCTTAAGCGAGGAATCTGTCCCAGAAAACAGCAGGCGGCCATTTTGTTTACCCGGTGGCCATTTTGAAACCGCCGAT